ACAGATTTCTCTACCCGGTCAGAAAAACGGTTTTTGGGTCTGCTCCGAAACCGGTTTTTTGGGCGGGAGGGAGGTCTTCGGGCAGAAGCATGACAAACTTCTGCTCCCGACCTAAAAATCGGTTTCCGGGCGTGCACCAGAGCGAATTTTTCTGCCCGAAGCTTCTTCTTGCAAAAATTGCATCATAGATCAGAAAGCGGTTTTCATCCACCGTGCCCAAAATTGTGAGTGAAGAAGCAGCCATGCTTGGTATCGGACCCGTTTATTCGTGGCGTTATTTGTCGTGTTAATGTGTAGTCCTTGCAGCTAGAAGATGAACCACACAAAATAAACTCATCGATATCGCTAGACCGGGACTACGCCTATCGTGATGCAGCTTTTTCCAGCTTGTAAACGTTGTTCGTGCTCTTGGGCGACTAGAGCGAAAACAGAGACGAGAGTTCTTGACGCCGATTTTTCTGAGAGAAATTCAAACTCTCGTGTCAAAGCCAGTAGATGCACTACCATTCTTGCGCGTTTCAGCAAACAGCAAGTCCAAACACAGAAGCAATAGCCAGAGAAGTTGATAAACGTATGGAGGCCCATCTTCTTTACGACTAGAGGAAGCAGGAACAATAGACTAGCAGCAGTAGTAGAAAGTACTTCGAGAGCAATAGGTGGTGTAAAAAGTAGTAGTTTTGAATTTTTCATACTAATCCTTCGTAGAGCAAACACGTAAAGATGCCTTACCGCGCAGAAACTGACGTCGCCCTCGATGCCTTCACGCGGAGTCTCGAAGAACGGGATATGTCCAACTTCGCCGCCGATGAGCATCGGAACAACTTGAAGCTGTTGATATCCCATGTAAAACCGTCCTAACCCCATAGTCGTCATGTAAATCTGCACGCTCAAAATGTTTCTCATGCGGAGCAGCTCCATGACAAGCAAAATTTTCTACGTCGTGTTTTGGAATTTGTAATGCTCTAATCAGAATAATGGACCAGATCTGTTATGCTGCTGAACAAGCCAAACAGGATTTTTACATTACGAAGCTAAACTTGTCATGCGCAACAATCGAAGCTGGCTGATTTGTCTAGCAGATTTCCCGTCTTGACTATGGGATGGGAACGGTTTTGCTCAGGATAGGTGCGGAACGCGAAAGAGCAGGACTTGCAAGAGAAGGAGCAACAGAAACTCAAGTTGCAAGCGGAGCTCGCGGCGCACAAGTCCCTGGTCGTGACTGAGCATGATAATCGGCAACGGCAGAATACCCTGATCAAAAACTTCCCCACCCCAGAGTTCTTGTCATGCAAATCTGCATGGTAAAAGTCCCCACCCCAGAGTTGTAATGCACCTCTGCATGGTAAAGTAATGTGCATGGTAAATCCCCATGAGAGTGAGACGCATTTTCCAGTGCTCTTTGAAATTTGTGATGCTACAATCAGCATGAGGTACTAAATTTGTGATGCTGCTGCACTAGCTAAACGCGACTACATTCCGAGCCCAGACTTGTCATGCACAAGAACGGCTGATTTCTTGTCTTGCAGATTTCCCAACTTGACTATGGGGTGGGGACGTTTTTACTCAGGACGCAAAAACACGACAAACTGGCCGAGTTAGAAGCCAAATACCTCCAAGCCAAACTCGAGGTGGAATCGCTCGACACCGAACTGGCGAAGGCCGCTTACACGAAGGCGAAGTCCGCGGAAGAAGAGCTATATCATGTCGGAAACAATCCCATCGACCTGCACGTACTTAGTCGTTCTAACATGATCACGAGACTTCTTACCACGTCCACGTCAACGTCTGACATCCAATAAGTAATGCAGGACCGCATCCGCATCGTCCCTAGTAGTTGTACTCCCGACCATTCGGATGCGTTCTTTCCAGGTGAGTTTTTCTTCGCCCACCGCCTGGCAGTTGTTACCTGTTTGGTGTTGTGGGGCGCGGGCGATGCTTTGCATGACAGAGGAATTCGTTTACAAGAATCCGATGGTGACGTTGACGATACGTGTTTCATTTGAACATGAAGTGCGGGGAGATAGGATTTTTTCCTCGTGATAAGCCGCATCACAAGATTCTCCAGTGTGACAAGTTATGCATTGGAAATATTTCATCTGGATCTGGGACGAGGATACACTCAGTGGCATGCTCAATCTGGATGATGATGATCGTACAAACAAAAACTGTGTTACATACATGAACAAAAATGAAATCTGTGTTGCATGATGAACGTGAAAAATTGCTAGACTCTTGTTACGCACCGGGCGTAAGCATTATGCGGCTCTTGTAAAAAAATCAGTGATGATTTTCTCTAATTTTATCTTGTCCGCATCGCAGATTTTCTATGTATTCTTATTTGGTTGTCATCCCGCACGACAGTTATGCATGGCAACATTCTTCGAGACCCAGACATTTTTCCTCTCCACGCGAGGAGATTATCCAGAAGGAACTGGAAAAATTGACGGCGAATCGGTCACTGACGGTGCATATGCATTGGGAAAGTATCGCGCTCGTATATGAATTGCAGTACAGCACCAGGAAAGCATAATCAAGTCTACATTAGCATTTCTTGTCATGTTGGTTTGCATTTCGAAGATAGGTTGGGAAGCACAAGTTGTTCTTGTAGCATTGCTGCAGAACCCGGTGCAATTCGTACGAATGCGACACTTTTGCACAGCATAGTTGACGACGAGTGTATAGTCAGTCGTTCCTTGTTTTTAAATTGTTTTTAGCCCTAGGCATTTCGACTTTTCTTGCTTTTTACCAACAGGAAAATAAAAAGTACCATGATCAGCACCAGCAAAATTTATAAAAAGTGCCTGTTTCGGCAGACAATCCAACAGAAGAATCATCAATACAACAACGTCCTTTCAATTTATTGGCTTTGAGTTCACCTCTCGCACTGTGTCCATTGTGATGCCGAGGCGATGTGTAGCAGCAAAACTTAGTGACAAAACTCACATTCAGATGTGGCATTGAAGAGGTATGGAAGATTGCAAAAATGTTTGGGTCTGGAAGGTTAGAACTTGTGATGCTATTTTTGGAATTTAAGAAAATCTGTATTGCATGAGCAGCAAGAAGCGTCCAGCTCTTGCTCCGTGGAGAGGACATTTTTCATGCGGGATAGGCATCTAGATACGCGCAAATAATTTGTGATGCTGGGGCATACATCGCAGACATCCCGGGTCATGCAAAATGTACATGACAAACCGTGCAATCTTCCAGACCCAGACATTTTTGCATTTGATAAGAGGGGACGGAAGGCGATTTCGCCAGACGACCACGCGGAACTGCTGAGCCAGGTGAACAACAGCAGTGCTGGGAGTCCAAGTACTACTGTCTATCCACTGCAAAGATGTGTGGGTCTGGAAGGATTCGAACTTGAAATGCGGATTCTGGAGTCGTGCGCAAACATCATAGTGTGTTTGTCTAGTGGACAACTTTTGGCATTGCCAAAAGTTGTCCACTTGTTGCTGCGCAAGTAGCGAGCTTTATATTTCTGGTAGGATAGCAGCAACAAATCAAGAGACCTGAACAAAGCATGCTTTTGCGCGCGGCATTCCAGAGGGAGCATCTGCGTGATCCAAAAGAGGCATGACAAAATTGCGCAGTCTTTCAGACCCAGACATATTTGCATTCGATACTGTGGTCCTGGATCTAATTATACGGAAATATTTGAGGTTTTGGGATGCAGCAACTCCATTTTTCGTCTTGTCGCATGAGCGCTTATGTTTACAACAGGATGAAGTTCAAAATTCATTGCTGAAAATAAACACAAACAGTGGACCACGTTTGGGAAGCGCTCAGCGCTCCCGGAGCCTCCAAGGTGAAGGTACAGCGCACGGGTATATCGAGAGGAAGATGCTTGAATCTCTCCAGACCAAAATCTTGCCATGACCTCACGCAAAAGACGCGTGTTTCTGTGCATCGACGGGACTACTACTGCGTTTTGCATGACATGCAAGCATTACGCCCTCCCTCCTCGTGCGCTGCAGCACGCGTCCCAAATTTTTACGCTGTCGCGCAGACCCCCACCAGCGGATGATAAGCCGGCGCTTGTAGTAATCATTAAATTTGAATTTGTATGACGGAAAAATGTTGTGCCTCGTCTCTGGAGCGGTCCGCGAGTCTCTTCGTCTGGATATTGGGGCACGCCCCCGAGGGACGACCAGCTGAGCAACACCCTGCTCTTATCAAGATGCGAATGCCACCTCCTTCCCCGTATCCGAAAGAAATTTCGTCTGCAGGATTCACTTCGTACAAACGTCAGTTTGCATATGCAAAAATTTTCTTTGTCATATTCTACGGGATGTTGGGAGATGCTATTCTCACTTCGATACATTCCGTCCGTGAATGGCCAGGCGGTTTCGGACCAGCTGTCGCAGACCATCTTGGGCTCAGGCAATGTGCAGAATGATGGTACAGTAATACAACTCATTTGTTGTGAGCAACAAGGAGCTGTGATGCATGTGAGTCCTGATAGATTCAATTTGATTTGAATTTGTGTTGCATATCTGTGCATAGACAACAGCATGAAATAATCGCATTACAGAATAATCAGCAGGCATAAAGAAGTTTATTCTACCACCGACACTGAAATGAAAAAGAAAAACACAGGTTTTCACTCCCGCCACGGCATCACCCCCTTAGACGACATATCCCACGAAAATTTTGCGCTCCCTAGTCATCGATCATGGCTGTGCCTGTTGATCCTGAAGACTATTGCAGCTTCTACGAAGAGTTTGTAGTTCTTGCGACGTTTATTTGACTACGCTTTTCCTCCAACGAGAACCAACTCGTCCTCCAAACGGATGAATTCTTCCGGATCAACATCGCAGTTTTACGTCGAAAAGCTCAAACGTTTCCTTGCATATCTGAACGTGATCGAGGGAGAAATCGCGATGGGCGACGCCGCCAGCACTGGCACGAACCTGATCGATAATCTAATGCGAACCAATTCTTAGGAAACAGAATAACTGTGCGTCTCAATAAAGTCACAGGTTGACGTTGTGTCATGTCACGTTGTATGCTGGGTAAAAACTTTCTCCACCCCAGGTTTGTCATGCAGATTTGCAATTGCAGAAGCATTTGCGATGCGCATTTTCATGAGAACCATTTTCCATCAATTTTTGGCATTTGTAATGCTGGGAACAAGATAAAGAGATGGATTTGTGATGCGGCTCTCCATGCTGAAGCTGACCGGCGCTGCAATACAGAGGAAAACTTGTCATGCGAGACTTCCAAAACTTCTGGATCTGTGTTGCAAACTTCCCAGAACTTGAACATGGGGTGGGGATGTTTTTGCTCAGGATAATATGTTGACGAACGTACTTCATTCCGTATTCGTTCTGCATGAGTTGTAATGGTACCAGCGAATGGGAGAGTCGAAAACTGCATGACAAATCTACTGCACCCCCTGTGAAGTAGACGTACAGTTTTTCTAGCACAACGTCCGCACGATCGTCAACGCCGGTGTAGGAGAGTAAAATCTATTTTTCATCAGAAAAGAGTGCGTTCATCTTGCATCGTGAACTACTCACTGAGCCGCGTATGCAAGATGCCGCAGGTCTTGTGGTGAAAGATTGATTTTGCGTTTGCACAAAGCACCAACTCTGCTGCGGCCACCTCCACCTCGAGCTGCTCTTCATCTACCGGGATGTCTATGCAACTTCGAAAAAACGGTCAGGAAAAGAGGACTTTGTCATGCATACTTCGTCCGGAGCGGAATTCTGTCATGCGGAGATTGATAGCAGAACATATGTACTTGTAAAACCCGAAGCAAAAAAAACCATGATCCGCGGGACACGTTTTGGAAATCGGGCTTCTTTCTTGACCACGACCACTTCGTCTGCATAGTACTAAACCGTGGTCCGCAGTTTTTTCAAGCCCGTCCAGTAATCTCGTTATCAAGGAACAGTCAGAGGCACTCGCCGCGCTTGTCTTCACTAGTATCAATCTTCAAGAACAGAATCTCACAAATCTGCACACTTGTTTATATGTTGTCTGTGTCATTAGATAGAATATTGTACCACCGCCGGTCGTTTGATGGAGTTCGATTTTTTACACCATGAACCCCTTCCTCTGTGCGGATGCGGAAGTAGACAGAGGGAAAATCGAGTTTTAGATTTTCTCCCAGCAGGAAGAGGCGACATGGTCTCTGGTGCTGCAATATTATGCATTGCAAAAATGTCTGGGTCTGGAAACTTGTGATGCTAAAAGTGGATGGTAGCCGGACTGTAAAACGCAGCCAAGCATGACAAATTTTTGAGCTGCTATGCGTTGCGTATTCCGCATGAGAAACTGCGTTTTTGTATGACAGGTAGGAGAGGCTTTATTTCGTCTCCATGCATTACAGATTCTCGAGTCATGTCAGAAATGCATGACAAAGGTAAGAATCTTCCAGACCCAGACATTTTCGCAATCCATAAATATGAAGAAGCATTGCGTTCTTGCGTGATTGGTGCTCGGAGGGACACTATCAACTGTAAAAATGTCTGGGTCTGGAAACTTGTAATGCTGCGTTGGGAATGGTGAATGCTCTGTAATGCACAGCCAAGCATGAAAAATATCTGCGCTTCTTTGTGTTGCGTTTTTCGCATGACAAACTGCGTTTTTGCATGACAAGCAAAATGGTCTCTCCTTGGACGCGCATCACAAACTTTTTAGTCATGCCAGACAAGCATGACAAGTCCCGCAATCTTCCAGACCCCGACATTTTTGCATTTGATAGGCAAGGTGGGCCCTTTTGGATTGATACGTGCCGGGGTCGGATGCCCAGTCCCCGTTCGTGTCGGGATCGGATGTTACCAGTCGGTTCGTGCCGCAGGTACTATATGCAATACTTACTTATTTTGATTTACCGCTGCAAAGAGAAAAATCAATGAAAAACTGAAGACGATGATCAGCCAACGTTCCATTTCTGTTTGTCACGCATGAAACACAAAATCATGGGGCTCTTGCCTGATTGGTCCTAGTATGACGAGCATTGGGCAGTTAGATCCTTTTGAAATGATAACTACAGGCGTCCAGCAGCATCGGGTCCAAAAAACCACTCGGACTCGCAGCATCCAGATCTGCGACTACATCGCGATTCGTCGCGCCGGCGGTATTGAAGATGCAATATCTTGACTTTGATGCACATTTTCCTTCACCTCTTCTTTTGCCAGAGAAAATATACTATCACTATGACCCCGAGAAGCACACGACTCACTGCTTGTCATGCATGAACTGCACCGCCGTGTTCCAAAGTGTGAAATCGTGGTGGCATTTGCATGTCACATTTTGTTGGTATGATTTAAATTTAATTGCTCTGATCAAATCACAACAACCGCTCCCAACATTGATACACTATCCAACGTTGAAGCTTGTGCCCATATCATGGAAAGGTCGTGTACTGCATGGTCTGGCCGAATCATGCTGTCCTTCTCGCATGGCAAAAACAGTACTTACCCATGATTCATGACTTCGTAAATTTTATCTTGCATCTCACCGTAAAACCTCCTCCCATAACTGACTGCATGGGCACATTTTTTCGTTGCATACAGTGTGGAATTCGAATCTCCGCAACTTCGGCTCCAAGCTATCAAATGTAAAGATGTCTGGGTCTCCTGGAAGATCGCAACTTGTCATGCTAAATCTGAAGCATGCAAAAATCTGTGTTGCTTGATTACAAAAAGTCGTCCAGTTTTGACCAAGTCGGGAGGGAGTTTCTCATGCAGGATGGGCATGAGAGAGATCGCACAGAATCTGTCATGCTAGGTCCTGCATTCCTGACCTCATGGGCCATGGAAAAGCAGCATGACAAGTCGCGCACTCTTCCAGATGCAGACATATTTGCATTTGATACAAGCGTATGCCGTGCTATTCTCTGTTCGTCCCCTCCCACATTCAGCGCTGCATGGAGAAACACTTTTTTCATGATCAGATGGCATCGCCATCGGCACATGAAAAATAAAATGATTTTTCCCGCCGTATGTGCTGGGGGAAGGCGAGGTTTTTCTCGTGGACACGAACGCTCAGCCGACAGTCCGTGATGTTTTTATGAGTCGCAGCTCGCCCACTCTGCCAGTATTTTTGTCATGCAGAAGGAAGCCAGAAGGGGTTGCATGAAATGAAAATCTGTTTGTCATGCATGACAGACTGACAGGAAGAAAAAAGCCTATGTATTGCTTGTGAAAGAAATAGACCTCAATTCGGCATGAGCGGCTGCTCCTCTTTCTGATAGTACGCACCCAGCACGACCCCCTTCCTCCAAGGCGGAAAGTGAAGGTAGCAGAATCCATGCAGTCCTGGTGCCAACACTGAAGACAAACGGAATTTATACGGGTTGTATTTCCTCGTTCTAGCTCTGACTTCATCTACTGCTACAACTACTGCTACTACTTCAACGGCGTTTCTTTGAAAAAAAGTTTCTCATTCACTTTTACCCAAACTTTTCAAAAAATTTACTGTTTCAGTTTCAGTTTCAGTTGCAAATATCAACAAATTCGACATACGTTTCGCTATAGTTCTGACTCCAACAGCGTTTCTTTAAAACGAACACAGACAGGTAGTTTCTACTTGCCCGAACTTCTCACGAAAATCTTGCAAAATGAACACGACAGACAAGTTTCTATATTCACCCTTTCCTAGAACTTTTTTGAAAATGCCTAATATGCAATCAGCCACAGTTATGTTGCGAGCAACATCAAATTCGTTTTGTTTCAACTATGGCAATGTTAATGTTTCGCACAATGTTTTCTCGAACTTTTCGCAAAATTTACAATACCTTGCAACGATCAGTTTGATGTTTTGTACTTCCTAATCATCCACACTAAATGAAGCGATGACCGCGAGGCCTGCAGCACCAGATTGATGCTGTTTCAAGATACCATCAAAATTGATACTTGTGCACAAAATAAAGCCGCGACAAAAAGAACGAAGTGTCTCCATGGTGTCTAAGCAGCGGCACAAGAAGAGTAGGTGAGCGGTATAGAAGTGTAAAAAAGATAAATTTATTGTGATCTTCAACAGCAGCTTTACAGGGATATCATTCGAACCCCACTTCGACCAGGCTTTGGGCCTTCGGTAGGATTGAAAGGGAGTTTGATATTGCAGTGACATACCCTGCTAGTAGAATTTCTAGTAGCAGATGGCGGCAATAAAAAGCGTCGCTGTTCTGGAGAAAAGAGTTCTTTTTGTGCAGTCTAAGACGGTAACTCCAGTTACATTGCCGAGCAGGCCCGAAGCGTTTGATGTGCCCGGATCTTGTGTTTTAGTCTGGAAGGCACAGATGATCAGCGTTGCGGAGATCCCAGGAGTAAAAGTAAAACCGATCTGGTTGTGCTAAGAATAAACTAGTAGCCACCATCAACGCGATCTCGATTGTAGCAGGGGGTTGCGATAGTCGATTCTATTTTTGCACCTTCAACTCAGTTGTTCTTTATTAGGCGTCCTTGTTTTTAGTTTCATCCGATGCGCTTGTTCTTGACACAGTAGCTGTGTATTGACAGGACGAGGTACAGCAGGATCATACATTATATCTCTTTCTCTACTATCGTACGTATTTCGTCTGTTCAGAAGCATTAACACAAAAATTAATTTTGTTCCTACACGTAGAGACGCATGACAAGTCGAGACGATTATATCTCGAGGAAAGAATCTATGTCTATCTAGAACCGTTGCTTTTTAGCGACACGACCCTTCACAAAATGGGCAAAGAATATCAGGGCACTACCAATCTCTCATCCGCAGCGCAGGGGGTGGTCGCTGAGGCGTCAGAACAGGAGTACGCAGCGCAAATATGTTTGGGTCTGCTGGAAGACTGCAAGTTGTGCCATGTTTGGCTAGTATGAATTTCAAATCTGTCATGCGCATGACCAGGATCCCCCGTTTCTTGTCACGCAAATTCACTGTTTGTGATGCAAAATAGCTAACACGTGCTGGCAGTTCAAAAAGTTTTCATGCTCCAGGACGGTCACTTGAGGTGTCGGCGTCCTTGTGTTTCGTTGTACTCCAGCATGGTCACAAGTATCGAGACCCAGGCAACCTAGTTGCAATGCATCACAAAGACGAGGATGTCATTATGGAGGACGGGGAAACCGAGGTTGTCATACCGTATCACGGAGAAAAACACCCATGCTGCAGTGTCAAGAATATGTAACTCGTCATGCCCAGTATTTGGTTCGCAGATTCCGGGAACATCCACGATTCAGATTGGCGAGTTGCAAATATCGGAAACAAGACAGACCTTCACGTTTCCGTTGTCATGTGGCCCCGGCTCGCAACCCAACGCACTATACTAGAGACGATTTCGGATAATTCAGTATTGGTGTGTTTTTTTTCCCGCATATGCCACCAGAATTGATGGCAGCAGGGCCTTTCCGAAAGTTGATGCGCGGCACGAACGCCATGAAGGTACAGGACAAAATTATCTTGTGTAAAAGAACTTCATCTTCATATTTGCTGTCCAAATCTGCATTTGTTAGAACATCACACGACTACTGCAACTTTCCGCTCCCAGGCACGAAAACCGGAGTTTCATAATAGTTTCTACTTTATTTATAGCAAGTTGGCTCTGTGAGGAAAATAAGTGGCAGTTCAGTCAGTACTCACAAGTAGTGCTGTGTGGAGCAGGACCCCATTTGTCATGCGTGTTTTGTACAGAATCAGAATCTGGACTTGTGGTAAGTACTGGGTGCTCACCAACGTCGTGAATATGGGGTGCAATTATTTTTTCACTGGATGGAGCTGTTGGTGCAGTCGTTGCAGGTATCCTAAGTAAAAATGTCCCCATCGCAGAATCAAGTTAGGATCAGCATGAAACACAAATCCAGAAATTTTGGAAGTCACGCATGACAACTTTCTCGCACATTAGCAAGGGCGGCCATCGCCCCAGTAACAGTATCCTGTTTACAGCATTAGAAATGCCAAAATATCATTGCAACTAGCTCTCTTGGGGATCCGCATTACAGGCGATCCTGTAATTGCAACTCTGCATGACAACTCTGGGTTAGGGACGTTTTTGCTCAGGATGGCAGACTTACCGCTTTTACGCCCTGACCCACGCGGAGATCGCAAAGTTGCGCATGGCAACGGTATAAGATTGAAACAGAGTGCCCCGTAGTCAGAAACTTTGATAGATTGCAGTACCGCGGGCAACTACTTAGTGGAAACTTCTGCAAATGCAAATGGTACTACAGGTCCTCTGGCAAGAACATCATCCAGATATAACAATTATTTCCGTGACTTAGTCGTGATCCAGAGTCTTACAACTGGGCTGTTGCAGCTGCTGCCGCTACAGGGCGAGCTTCGCAACCCCTAGTTTTTTGCAGTACAAACGCTCGCTGTCCTCCTGTACATCAATAAACTTGCATGTGCACGAAGGGCATGAAAATCCCCTACGGTAATTTTCTGGGGCCGGGGCGGTTTGCGTTCTGATAGACGATCGGGGAGGTCTTCGAGTTCCAGCGCAGAGCCGGGGAGCCCTCCCAGGCACGGTGGCGCAGGCTCTGTGCAGAGCTGGAGTGGGCGGGTGCCGCGGAGTGACCGGTTGGGGGAGGATGTTTTTTTAGTCGCTTCACGATCAACGCGGATGAAAATAACTCTACCTGCAGCGCAGAATATACTACAGCAAAGATTTTTAGTAGTGGCCGCCGTGTCAGCATCCCTTTGAGTGTTATAGCATGCGCTGGCAAAAGTTGTGCCAGTGAGCTATGGAAGCCTATTGGCTTCACCCTTGAAAGAACTTGATCAGTGTGTTCTTCGATCGACTCGTTATATGATATGATGCAACTACATTGACCTTCGAATCAATGTATACCAGCAAAAGTTTAATTTATCGGCTTCTCGGTTTCTTGACTCTGGGGACTACTACATACTTTACACGTGGTCGGAGTCGTCGTAGTGTGGATGAGAGACTGACGAGAGACCCGGGGAGACTTCGAAAAAAATCGGATGCTTCTCGTACAACTTCGTAGGGTCGTGCAAGTGACAAGATTAGATTTCTTCTTTCCTCAAAAGTTATTTAACCGAAGTCTACTTCCGTACGCAATAAACTACATCCTGCAACTTCATCTTGTAATTTATGAACAGCAGTAGAAGTAAGTCAAGCTCTAAGCAGTTGTTGCTAGATTCCTCGTGAACGACGTTTGGAAGCAGAAGTACGTTACGAAATCACCAAGATGTTTTTCGCCCAAGGTGCGGAGAGCCAGCCGATGAGATCCCACAACGGACAGCAGCAACCTGCCGCACACCAACCCCAATCAAAGCTGCCGATGAACCCGCCGGTGCTACCGAACAAGAAACACCAGCACACTCTGAATATGACTATCCCACAGAAAGACAGTACTAGCGATGTTGTCATGGTTCCTCGTTGCAACACAAAAATAACCTGTAGCATTTTCTTCATCCATTCTTCCCAGGGGACCATCTACGGAGCATGCCAGTAGGGGCCACGCCGCCCCCTTTCTTTTGCACTAAAAAATCAAAATGTAGTTGCGCGTGGGCCGCAGTCGTAGTTTCATGTTGTTTGCTTTGCAAATACAAGTACAAGAACACTGCTAGGGATTTTCTGTGCGATACTTCAGTTTCCGGCCACCGGTGAAGGGGAGAAGAAGCAGAAACAAGCCATGCTGCTGCAGCCCGGGGGCGGCGGGAACAACGGACTTGTATCTTCTGCAAAAGTATTGTGCTGGGAGCAGCTATTGCTATCCCTATCCTAAAACCGCATGAGAAACAAGACCCACGCGTGGGGACAGGGTCCCCACGCTGGGGCCTTGTGCCCGTCCCTAGTGGCGCTAGTGGGGGAGGGGTGTTCGGCATCGGGGCGGACGGCGTCCGCCCCTCGCCTCACACCAGGCGCGCGCATAGTGGCTTAGTGCGCGAAGCGCTAGTGGGGGAGGGGTGTTCGGCATCGGGGCGGACAGCGTCCGCCCCTCGCCTCACACCAGGCGCGCGCATAGTGACTTAGTGCGCGAAGCGCTAGTGGCAAACGGATGAATTTGGTGCCCTGCATTTTGCAAGACAAAACAAAAATTGAAGCAATTGAAATAGCTCTGCGTGGCGGCAAACAAATTCTCTAGCATTGCGCCAAAATTCATTTCCCATGAGTAACGCAGGGAAAAGCAAGCAGCTATCCCCTGGATCGGATGCGCGTTGCAGAGATAAGCCCTTTCCTATTTTTGCATGGCAGCGCAAATATTCCTTTCTCTGTAGAGGCAGTTTCTTTGCGTTTTTGCGCTTTTATCTTTTTCATTTTGATTTTCTGTGTTGTTTTTTTTTTGCAGTTTTATCTTTCCCATTTTTCGTCGTGTCGCAAATATTTCGTTTTCGTGTTTATTTCATAAAAGACAGGGGCGTAGGCCGCGCTAGCCTTAGGGCTTAGGTCACCTGTCGCGGTTCACCTGTCAAGGTCACCTGTCAAGGTCACCTGTCAAGGTCACCTGTCGAGGTCACCTGTCGCCGGGGGTTTGCCGTACCAGAACCCAGAAGTCAAGCAATGTAAATATTAATCTGTACAAAAAGAAGAACGACCAGCATTACAAATACACTGATTATTGATCCCAAAACCGCATGAGAAATCTGTACTACATGAAGAACGACCTGCATTACAAATACACTTATGGTTTGATGCCCCTTCTGAGCAAATTTGCAATGCAAGAATTGGTACTTGTACGATACTATTTGCAATTTATCCAGTGTTGACAACATCGCGTCCAACTCGAAGGAAAACAAATTATCAAACGGAAAAATCCCCCCTCCCCATATCGAAATGGAAATCTGTGATGCAGGATTTGAGGTCACAAATCGACTTGTCATGCTAGAAGGCCAAGAGCCGCAGTCGTGGTCTCGTTTGCAGGAAATTTGTCATGCTGTTTCCCACTCTCAGCTGCCTCCTATCATGCTGAAGATGCAAGGCTCCCCCACGCCACCCAGCACTACAGTCCGCATCTTTTCCCGTGTAGCATGACAAAGCTGATTTGTGACAACAAATCTGCATCACAGATTTCCGCTTTGATATGGGGAGGGGGGATTTTTCCTTTTGATACAAATCCGCCCCTGACCAGACGGCATGGGAGACCCTCGGTGCGGACTACACCCGGGCAGATGCCGCGGCGACTGATATCCAATACCAATCGCCGCAGCATCAAGCGCTAGCGCTGCTGAAGATGCTGCGAGACTCCCGCACAAGTGCGATCGTGCGCGCAAAGGAAATATCCCGTGTATAAAACGTGCCCAACCCAGACAAGTCGTCGCTCACGCAGATTTGCACGCTGAAGGCACCTTGCATGCGCAGCCCCAACTACCACTACATGAGGACCACCATTTTCTAACTTAATATTGTTTTCGAATTTAGTGTCACGCTACATTTACCATACGGTTCAAGATTTGTGATGCGGCTTCTCGAGCGCAGCACGATTACGATATTTTCAGGCAGGGACGTTTTCGCACAGGATGGGATTGCAAGGAGAAGGCTTCCACCGCGAAAGAGGCACAAATCCGTGCAGGTGAAAAAGAGCAGGAGGCAAAAGAGAGACTGTCGCGGCTGGAGCGCGAGCTGGACCAGAAGCAACAAGAGGCGGACCAGGCGTATGGGGTTCTCAAACGTTACACTCTCAACTGCTTCATGGATTTGTCATGCAAATTTGCACTGAGTAGCTATATGACCTTGATCAGGCTGCTTCGTATGACAGGGTCGCGACTCGCTAAATAGTATTCGAATCTAGCCCAAGTCTGTAATGCAAAACGCTCAATCTCCGCCCTTTCAATTTTGCCACTCTTGCATTACCAATTCATGTACTTAACAGTTGCAAACGTAACATTTGAAAACTCCATAATGTGTACCAGAGGGCTGTCCGCGCTATCCAAGAAAAATGCAGATCCATGCCAGAAAAAAAAAACTTGTGTTGCGGATCCTGTCGCTGTCACCATGAAAATGTATGAAACTTCGTATGAAATATAGACGTACACGAATGCATTATCTTCCAATACGCGATGCAAGTTCCGATCGTGGAGACCAAAGTCTCCTGTACTTGTAGCTCGCGTCATTGAGTAGAGATTGACGAGGCACGATAACTACTAAAGTTGTCATGCTGATGAACAGCGAAACAGATGAGCTTTTTTGTGATGTTACCGAAAACCCCCGCATCGCAAATCGATACTTTTTTTCAGTGAAGGTCTGCGTTTCGTCTGCTGAATACCTGCCGCCGAGCTGCAGCGCGAGCGCGACCTGCGAAGGATCGAAAAAGCCCTCGGGCCGCAGATGGCCGAAGCGCAAGAGCACATAGCGTCGTACAAGCAACAGAAGAGAAAACAGGGCGAAGATTATCCTGTGGAAAAACGCTATTGTTCCCCCGACTTTTTTCACGTTTAGAAGTTGGCAACACAAATGCAGAAGTTTTGGGAAGAATGTAAATGCATCCCAAGCTATTTCTCTCAGACGCATGAAGAAGCTCCTGCTAGATCTCTTCTTTGTAGGATCAAGATTTGCACCGAGAGACGAGTAGAAATGCCTCTTCCGGGGATGCGCATCACAAGCGCTTACACTATCCCGTAGATGCAGATCAGCATGACAAATTGGTGGGAGCGGACGTTTTTACTGAGGATAAAGAGGAAGCGCGCCTGGAACTAGAGGCCAAAGACGTGGCAAGCAGAATCGTAGATATCAACAGAAAAAAACTCTGGCTCTGGATTTGTCTTGCTACGGCTTGTCGTTCAGCATTTGTATGGCCCAGAAGCGAAGATTTGGAGTGCGGGCTACAGCGTCACAAGTTTCCACCGGCGCACTTTGCGATGCGTCGGCGAATCTCTTTTGTTGCTCATGCAATACAGGTTTCTTCCTTGTCGTCCAGAGCTCGCATGACAAACTCGACCTACCAGATCGTCCAGATGTATTTGCAATCCATAGGGCAGTACGACGCGCAAATAACGGCGCAAGAGCGGAAATATAAGGCCGCGTTTGGCGATGGAGACAGATATCACGAAGAAAGACCAGGAAGCACGTGCTTGATTCATCTCCGAGCCTTTTTGTCATGGCGCAGATTTGTTCTTCTGCATAAATGTCGTGAAAGTGAACTTTTGATTATTTTAATCTGCAGCGGTTCGTCCCGATAGTACTGTGAAGCTCGAAGTAGAGGATGACGAAGAAAAGAGCAGAAGCGCGCCTCCGTGTTATTCCTCCATACTCCCACAATGCAACTGCTGGCTATTCATCTGAAAGATGCTAGCATAAGTGGCAGCCTACCGTTATTTTTAGTGCTGCACTGAGAAGTCTGTAGCAAAATCATCCATAATGCTGTGTGATGAATGATGTTTTCGATGCTCTCATCTACGACCCAAGCAACGAGACATGGGGTTTGACTGCTTTTTTCGTTCTTCGTAATTCACCAAGAACCAAACTTGCATGACAGATTAGCCTGTGCTAGAATTTTTCAGGCTGATAATCCCCAAACTCGCGCAGAAAAACCGGGATTTGGGGTGGCAGATTGGTAAGGAAGATTCTCTTTTCTAGTGCAAAGGAGAACAAGGCTGTCATGCAGATATTCTTGAAGCAAGTTTCAACATTTCAGTCTTTAATTTGCGCATTGTTGTCTCCCCTGCATCGATCTAGGTACCAGTAAGCAGGGATGAATTTTTCTTCAGTTGATCCATCTGGATTCGGAGAAGTAACTGTCCCAAACAATGCAGGTGCGCATGGCGATTTCAACAACGAAGCAGCGAACGGGTATGGTTCTGCGAATGGTAGTACCGATATGAAAAACAAAATGCTGGCTCGTGACCAATCACGGAGGGTGGAATCTTTCATGTGCATGCACCACACAGATGTAGTCTGTCCACCATGAGGTCAGAGATGAAGAATAAGTACTCATTCTAGAGCAGGGAGGCCGATTTATTATTAGCGGTTCTTTATTGCCGATGTTGGCAGTGTCAGATGGGAGCAAGAAGAGCTCTATCGTACTTATTCTTGGGATTGGGTCTCCAATCCAGTGCAGCTGGTGGTCGCCGCCCCCGGACACAAGCATGCAATACGAAAAAGAACAAAGCCTGTTCAGAAATACATCTCGTCTTCAACGTAGGTTTGTCATGCAGCTTGTCCAGCATGACTACGCATTCATCCTGCTCCACGGGTGAGTAAACCGAGTTTTTGTTCATGCGAAAATTTTTGAAGCTGCTGCAGAGTCGCAGCTAGAATACTTAATCTGGTTATTTATACGAAACTTACTTCAAGACAGCATCACAAATCTTCACGACGAGAAGGCACTTCTACTAGGCTAATTTTCCCACTATAGGTCGGTCTTGAATGTTATAACCGGCGGGGGTGGCTCGACGAACAACACATCTGGCCGTGCGGGGGGTCGCGACGGTAGTGTACCAAACAGAAAAAAACTCTGTTGTGACATCGAGGGAAAAAAACGCAACCTTCATAATTCTGTTCCTGGCATAGAGGACTTCTACTACTTGTAGTCCCAGAAAAAGTAGATGTGAGGTAGTACTACAATCGTCCGTACCACTAGCACACAGGTTTTTTTTCCGTGGACAACCACCAGGCAAGCAGGGGAAAAAGGACAAGGACGGACTCGTATCCGGAGCAATAAAATCACCCTTAATGAACCTTGTGTCTCTTTTTCGTGCTCATTGCCGTGTTTCAGAGCAAAGGATTTTGTAATGCGCAAAGGAATTTGTAATGCGCAAATAATCATGGCCAGGTCTTGCGTTTGTTTGATGCACCACTCCAAAAAAGTGCGGGGGGTGATTTTCTTCAGGATATCAAGATCCCGAAATGAAATATTACGATGCGGATTCTGGTACAATAAGATTATAGATGAAATGTTGATGGTAGCACGTCCCATATGAAAGGACAAGCCGGACGGCACTACTAAAGAAATTGAAATTGTCATGCTTCCTGCATCAAAAAATTCGTGATGCTTCTTGAAGATGATAAGCTTTTTAGCGACAATGAAAACGGAGTACTTGAAGAAACCGAAATTCAGGTAACGAGGAAGCGGGTGATGGTCTGTCGCAGACCTCGGGTGCAATATGGAACTCTCAAACGTTACAGGATGGCCAGCTGTTGCATCGCTAATTTGTGATGCAAGAACAGCAAAAGTAAAAGAGAGAACAGGAGCTAGTACAAAGTAAAAGAGGATCATGCGAAATCTGTAACGCGTCTTGCATTACAGATTTCGCAACAAGGGTTTCCATGCGCCGCATGAGAGACTTGTCATGCGAAGTACCTTGATCGTGCGGGGGGCGATAGCGAATATGCAGCATGACAAATGATGTCGCAGCTGTTAAAGCAGTCTGTTAAGCATGACAAATGATGTAGCAGCTGACAGTCGTGTAACGTCTGAGAACTCTATACTAAGCAAAGAAAAGAAAAACGAACTCTATATGCGGGACGAGCACATTTGCTTATTTGATTGCAAAAATGTCTGGGTCTTGAAAGAATGAAACTTGTCATGCTGAATCTGGATCGTGCCAAAAATTTGTGTTGCATGATTACCAACAAATGTCCACTTTCGGACAAGTTCAGAGGCAGTTTCTCATGCACGATAGGCATGATAAAGGTCATCTCATAGAATCTGTCATGCTGGGTCCCACGTGCCAGACTTCATGGGTGATGCAAAATCTGCATGACAAACTCCTCCATTCTTCCAGACCCAGACTACATAGTTGCATTTGATACCAGCAACCTATTCAACCGCGGCAATCCGTCGTCCCAGCAGGCAGTGCCGGCAAACAGCAGCCGGTTGCAGCAGGAGACCCAGATGAACCACAACAATCGGTTGCCCCAAGCGGCGCTCTTCACCAACCAGGTGGACCACACGGAAAGCTTGTGGGGCCAGTCCGACCCTATGCCACGGGAAACTACTTCTACACGACCGACACCAGTCTCATGAGGAAGAAGTAGAGATAGTAATTTGCATCTAAATCTACTACACAGCGCGAATAAAAGTCAAAGTGGAGAGAACCTCACTGAATAATTTTCCCGCGTCCGGCATGACAGATTTCCGGATCTTGCTGTTCTGCAGAGGTAATGAATAATTGGACTGCTCTAAAATGGATTGGTCGTGTAGTTTTCCGAATGATAACGTGGTTTCGGCAGCAGGAAGGGCGGTCCTTCTATTAAGCTGACGGGCGGATGAGCCGAGGAGATTTCTGTGTTGTTGAGATCAATTATAGTATTCAATTATGGTGCGACATCGAACAAACCTTTTACTTCCACCTACTACAACTCTTGTTCTCATTGTCAGGCAGTCCTCGTGGAGAGGCGCTTGGCGCCGTCTGGTGGCTGCGTTTCAGCTTGTTTACAGAACCAGCACCGACGGAAAAAAAAATCTTGAACGTGCAATAACAAATCGAATCTACTTCTAAACAGCTTGCTTGCTTGGTACTACACAGCTTACTACTTACTTCTACAACTGAAAAAAAAGTGTCTCCCTCGGCTGCATGGCGTAGCATCTACGCATGCGGATGCAAAGGGGGCGGAAAGACCAAAAGTGTGTACAATATGGTGAAGGATGTTTTTCAACTACAACTAGTATCATCTAATCTTCTAGCAATCTATGCTTTGATTTTACTGTACCAAAATGAATGTATTAAAGTAGCTCTTGATTGAAGGAGCTATTGAAGAGAAAAAACCACCTCTGACTAGCAGCGAAGCTGTAAAAACGGCGTGGTATGATCTCTAGACGAAAAAAGGAAGGTTTCACAGGGCACGGGCAGAAAACCTGCTCTACAACTGCGAACCAATTGTACAATGCTGACAAGAAAATCGTATCGACCAAGGATTTTTAGAGGCACGTCAAATGTATAGAAAAAGACAACTGCGCAGTAGAACCGATGATCTAGGGACGGCTGTTTGTGTGCTGGCACGAGTTGTATCTGCTACTATAGCTGATCACTACCAGCTGGAGCCCGATCCCGCCGGAGGTTTTTCGCTATTTGTCGTTATCTACACGACCGTAGTTCTACCCGTAGAGCAAATCAGTCGTGTGAAGATCTCGCTTGACGTGGACATGGCGTTGTAATCACAGATGCTGGATCTTGTTGTTTTTTCTGGTTGCTTCACTACGTCTCTCTTTTTAGGTGGCCTGAAAGGTCGGGACAGACGCATGGATAAAAAGGATGGAGGAGCGCTGGAGATCATCTAGGAAAAGGTTTGTTGATGTTCACGATGACCTAGCAACACAAAAAGTGAAGAAGTCTGCTGTGCACGAATAAGTACTTATTAATTTTCCTACAGTCAGATTGAAAAACCGACATTCATCCCGGTAGACTTTAGCCGTCGGCTTTCGAAAAACAACACATCCGCTACTTTGAATGCTGGCGGGACATGATTGAATAATTAAACCTCCCGCTTCAACACCCACATTCTCTCGCAGGCGAATATCCAATCGGTAACTGCAGAATATTGTACTTTTCGCATCACAAATCAGCATCGGACATTTAGTTTCTTCTCGCAAGAAAACAAAAGCAAAGCATGTTTTGTTTTGTTACCACGTGCCGTACGTTAGAGTTCCTTCTCCTAGCGACTTGTTTGTAACCATTTTGTTTTGTCAGCATGTGTGGCAGTTCTTTTTCCCAGCGACTTGTAGTTTGTAATTTTTCTTAGCGACTTGTTTGTAATTTTTCTTCTTTGTGCTTCATCACCAGATATTTTTGAGCATGCGATTTCTCGTTTCGCGTGGTGGCTGGGAAAGCGGCGGGAGCTTCGTCGTGGTATCCGATGAGGCCGCGGAAAAGTATCTCGTGGCGCCCCTGGTCGCCCACGCGGCCGCCCGCTATTGCGACGAAAGGGGTCTGGTGTGGCAGCCTTCCACACCAGTCGACGGGGGTCGCGATGTCGTGAACTTCGCGCAGCTGAACGAGATATCCGAAGGAAATACCCTCCCAGCCCATCCTGATCGCGATGTTGAGTGTCAATCATGCAAAACGTGCCCAGCCTTTCGCCTGGTACTCACACAGAAAGGGCGTGTCTACGCAGCGCAGCTCGTCCAGACGCATGACAAATCCGCGCCGCCCTGGTTCTGATTTATTTCTTACAGACGTGTGAAAGATATCCAAATCCAAAACCAAACACAAGTAGGAAAAAACGCCTTTCATGTAGAGCTCCGAGCAAGATGCTCATTCCGGTATGCACAGATGCATGACATGTGTGGGGTGGGGAGGCTTTCATTCAGGATAGGGATTGCCGGCCGACGAGAATCTACTCGCAGCATTCGAAGCAGCCGCGACGCAAATACGAGAGTGCACGACAGCACTCGTCCCGCCACCTCATCTAAAGGGCATGAGCAAGGACAACACAGAAAACAGCAGAAATACCATACAACTCTGGGTTCTGCATGACAAATCCGCTCACAAGGTGCAGCAGTGTTTGTGGCTCCAAAAATTTGTGATGCAGACTAGAGAATACAACACACCTGGACATGTTGTTCGGTGTATTGCGCATTACAAATTCAATGTATGAGAGGGAGGAGGATCTTGTGCGCTCTCATATGCCTTCGTCCAGCAGGAGCAGGCCAGGGGTGTCGAGTGTCACTTTTCTCCGGCGCAATTGAAGGAGATTGAGACTTATCACAGCGAAAAAGGATCGCCCGGGCATGTAGCCCAAGAACTGTGTCATGTTATGATTCTCAACTATGATCGACATCATGCGCGACCGATTTCTTTCTCGCGTGCGATAATCTCTCTCGGACCTTCATGGAGGAGAAACCTGACGGCTGGGTGAACGTCGAATCGGTTGACATCCTGTACCCACTGCAAACATATCGGAGTCTGGAAATACAATTCAAGATTTATCATGCATATCTGGCATGATTCAGAAGTAAGATTCTTAGATCTGTATTGCGCGCTTCCGAAAGTACACTCGTCTAAAAGCCGTCTGTCATGCAAAAGCGAAGTTTGTCATGCGGAAGGCGCAAGACCAATATCATGTACACGTTTAAAAACCTCTCATGCAGCCTCGCAGCTATGCATAAGCATATACATAGAACAGAAGTTTCAAAAAAAATCACAATCCAGTACATATTACGCATCATACACTTGATGTATATTTGTTTCCAGATTCAGACACGTTTGCAATGCACATCTTGGGCGCCGGATCGATATGCCGGATGCGAATGGAGAAGTTAAGTAGAAGCGGATCGGAGTTGGTTAGCCGGGAGTCCTCCTTAGCTGAACGCGAGGACTACATCGAGAGTATGGGATTTTCAAACGTTACATTCTCAACAACTATTACGTGACTTCTCATGCAAAATTGTGATCGGCTTCCACATCCACACGATGAAGCTGGCTTGCATGACAAATTACTGAAAGGGTAATTAGCATGAAAACCCCAAGTCTGTAATGCAAGAGGCAGCAGCAGTGATATCCCCGGCCAGCTGCAATTTTGCTGCTCCTATAGTGTTGCATATATAAATTGACTCATGCAAACAGGTTGAGAATGTAAAGTTTGAGAACTCCTCCATATAGGAGGCCAAGACGTTGCTTGACCAGATCCACTATCCACCACAAATGTGCCTGGTCATGGAGCAGCACAGAGCTGTGACGTTTTTGCATGAATACTTACCCCGCGATGGCTTTCTTCCACGCATGGCAGCGCGGCACAGTTGCTGCTGCGGCTATGCAGTCATGCCCATGATCTACTCGTATGCATTCCCTTCTGATCATGCGGTACAGGTTGATGCCAACTGGACACGGAACTACATGCAGATGAAACACGAAATTTTTTCTGCTGCAATTGAAGAACCCGGGCAGGAGGTTTGTAAATGCATATCCACAATGGGGGGTGGCTGCATCGGGATTTTGCCCGCAGGAACACTGCTCGCGCGTTGCAGGGCGCTCGCGAACTCAAGGCAATCGACCTAGGCAGCTGCGAACGCATCGATGTGACGAGGGAGGGGATTTGGTGGTTGGTCGAGCAGGACAAGGCGGCGCTGGCCAACATGGCGGAGGAGCTGGGCGTCCAAGACCACCTGGACCTCCTCCGCAGCCACCGCAGGCTTGGTGACCCTCTTGCAGATTCCGGCAGTTCTCCGCCACCCTCTCCGGCGCCCCCAGCTGTTGGCAGCCCGTCCTCACCCGAGCAGTTGCAGACAGCTGTTGATGGTGTTGAGCAACTGCTGACAGAACAGGGCAACATGAACGACCAGCAGCAGAACACGGGCACAGCCCAACCCCAGGAAGGTGTGCAAGGATATAATCAGCAGCTGACGCGGCACGCAAACTTCTCTGCTGGTTCCTTCACATCCGGCCTGCAGCAGCTGAACCCGGGAGCGCCGGACCCGATCCTGCTTGTCATATCAAATGCAAATATTTCTGGGTGGTCTCCTGGAAGAATACAAGTTTGTCATGCTTGTTGCGCTACAACAGCACTTGTCTGTCATTTAAAATGGCTATTTGTCATGCGCGGCTGCGCAACGCAGTTCGTGTATCCTTTGGACATTAGCATGACAACTTTCCAGACCCAGACATATTTGCAATGCATAGGAAAACATGGACGACAATAACCTGATGGGGACGAGCATTGAGCATCAAAATGAGTTCCAGCAGCAGCAGCAGCAGCAGCAGGGAACAACGACTATGAACAGCTTTTTTCCCCAACAGACCACGATGCAGCAGAACACGATACAGCTCCAGCAGCAACAGCAAATGCCTCAACAGCAAATGCTCAATGCGCAAAGCAACATGGCGAGTGGTCTGAGTAATGTCGGGCAGCAGCAGAAGATGGATTTATCTTTATCTCAAGATCAACAGCAGCAGCTTCGGATACAGCAGCAGCAGCAAAATCTCACCGTGAGCATGAACAACCAACAGCAGATGCAGCAAACCACGACTCAAAACTTGAATCAGCAGCAACTGCAGACTGCTGTTGGGCCGTCGACCCAAAAAGGTGTAGTTCCGCGGTTAACCATGAGCAGCACGACGATGACCGGTATTGTAGGTGGCCAGCTGCAGCAGATGCAGAATAGTAGCCCGGCAGGCCAGGCCTCGACGGCGGGCACTGTACGAACTGCAAATCAGCACCAGGGAGGTACTGTCGTTGGTGCCGGAGGTGCAACTAACGCGACTACTGGGCGTGTCGCTGCACAGCAAAGTCGGTTGAGTTTGAATCTTGGTTCCAACACCAACACTTCCACACCGGCGCCGGGCACGCAACAGGATTTAGTTCCGGGGTTAACCACGAGTAGCTTGACGCTGCAGCAGGCACTCCAGCTCTTCCAGCTGCAGACAATGCAGCAGCAGATGGAGAATAGTACCCCGGCAGGCCAGGACTCGACGGTGGGTGGTGTACGAACTGCAAATCAGCAGGGAGGTGCCGTCGTTGGTTCCGGACGAGGTAATAACGCGACTACTGTGCGTGTCGCGGCACAGCAAAATCAATTAAGTTTGAATCTTGGTTCCAACACCAACACAACTTCCAAACCGGCGCCGCGCATGCATGTGACGGGCACCACAAGCTCGGCGTATGCTCAGTTTGACCCACCTCAGAGACAGCAGCCGCTGGCGTCGCAGCAGCAAAACAAGCAGAATAGCTTGATGAACAACCAGGGGCAACTACAAGCTGGTGGCGTACAAAACATGAACAACGCTCGACAGCAGCAGCAGCAGGGAGGTGTGATGAATGCTAATGCTCAGAGCCTGCTCCAGTCCCTGCTTCAGAACCACTTGAAGATGGGCAATGCCGTCAACACTCTCACTCAGCAGCAAGAAGTATTAAACCAGGGTGGAGAAGGTGACAACAAGATCCAGCAAACCCATCATGATTTTGTGCAGGCGTACTATTTGCAGAGTGTGTTGATACAGCAGCTACTCACGCAGCAGGAAAATTTCAGTAATGTAAATGACCCTATTAATCCCGAGCAGCAAGAACGTCAGCAGCGCTTCAATAACCAGCAAAACAACCCGAACTTCGGCCACACAACGGTGCATGGTCAGCACCGAGAAAATAGGACCGAAATGGATCAGTCGCGGACACTTCGGAAGTTGGAAGTTCCAACTTCTGGAGCAGCTACGGCTGCAGTTGGAGCTGGTGCTGGAGACAACCTGCAGCACCCCCCGCGACCGTCATTCAATAGTGCCGGCTCGGTCCAAGAACCAGTTGCTCCGCTACAGCTACCCGACGTTAATAATCCGCCACTGCAGCACAACCAAAATGATGCAAGTGCGGTTCAGCCTCAGCGGCAAACCTTGATCCAGCAGGCTGGCACTGCTGCGCAGCAGCAAACCACAACCATTGAAGCGGCGTCACCGCGAATTGCTCTGCAGCAAGGGACAGCTGGCGAACAACCGCCGAGCCAAACGGGGCAGCCGTCTTCGCCGGGGACAGGCACTGCAGGCCAGCACGCTACCGCTGAAAAATCAGGTACCGCGACTAGTGCTGATGTCGCGGCACAGCAAGACCCGATAAACTTGAATCCGGCTTCAAGTTACGAAGATCCGGACGTCGAGCCCCCCGCGCAGATTATGCATTGCAAAGGTGTCTCGGTCGTCTGGAAGATTGCCAGGTTTGTTTATCCACATTTTGCAAGAAGACGACCAATGATGTCTGCAATGCGTATGCGACAACTAGCTGCATTTACAGATTTTTTATTTTTTGCGGATTTTTTGATGCCTTCTGACCCGCATGACAAATGCTCTCGACGTCGCGAAGGAAAAATTGGACTCCGCAGTCACTTTCTGCAGATGCAATACAGATTTTTTTACAACAAGCCGAAAGCAGCATGACAAAGTGCACTCTTCTCGAGCCAGACATGTTTGGGATGTATACAGATACAAGACGGGGACGGGCAACAACGCGGGAGGTCGAGGAAGCGCAGGTGTTCGTCGAGCAGTATTCTATGTGAAAACGTCCCCACCCTAGAGGTATCATGCAGATCTGAAATTACTTTACAGTGACATATGTGATACGCACCCCCATGATAGGCATTTCCAGTCGTGTTTTGATGAACTTGTAATGCTGTAAGCTGGATTTGTAAAAATCCGGCGGTCCTTGCTAACCTGTACGGACTGCAGCTTGTCATGCGTAACTTCTCCCAAAAGAACTTCTAGGCTTGTATTGCAGGGCCCCCATCTTGACTCTGGAAAAGGGACGTTTTTCTCCAGGATAAGAAGCAGGCGTTCGTCAAAGCGCAGGTAAAAATCTGTTTCTCTACCATCTCATCTCGATCTCCATTAGAGACTGGATTTAGTTACACCTCGTGCGTTGACTATAGTAACCAACTACAAGTACGTGTACGAATTACTGGTACAAGTTGTGTTGTCTATCGCGCATTATTTTTTGTCGACAATTAGTACCCGCTCACTTGCTAGAGTGTGGGTGTGCTGATCAAATAAGTAGACGAACATCCGATTTATGAACAAAAAAGGTCCGTCGACAGTCATGTGGATCGCAGCGACGGATTAGGTGTGAGTCGTACCAAAGTGAAATATGTCTTCGTTGTTGCATCAGATTCCGTTGTTCAAATTGGATAAAAGAAGCGCACCGCGAGTCGTAACGACCTCTACTCAAGGTCAAAAATATAGATGTCCTGTTGTGCTGCATTTGCATGACAAATTTGCTGCGACACTAAAGGCGAAGGCAGATTTCCTTTTGACAGTGCAAATGGACATCAATCAGGACCAAAGCCAGGAAAATTCGCACTACGATGAAGAGGTGGCTCCGCAGGGGCTGCACACGGCGAACTCGGCGGCTCCCTTCATGGGTAATCCGAGCGACGTAATGGACAGCAGCTACAGTCTACCAAATGCAAATATTTCTGGGTCTGGATAAGTGCGGGAGTCTGTCATGCAGATTTTGGATGACCGGCGAGGAATGTAATGCTGGACAGAGCATCAAAGGGGTCGCAAGGGCTTTGCAATGCATATCTCGCATGACAAATAAGTACCGCTTCAGCATGACCAAAAGCGGGTTTCTTGTGCTACCCGTGCAAGACAAATTCCTGTGCGATCTGCAGGACGCATCACAAGTTGTAGTCTTGGTCCAGAGCAAGACATATTTGAATTTGCAATGCATACAGTCCGGTGCGAGACGAAACCGAGTTCCAACAGGACGTGCAGAACAGCAACATGAACCAGGCTCAGCAACAGAACAGCACCAGGACACAGCAAGATACGACACAGCTTCCCCCGCAGGAGCAGATGGGCCATCAACAGCCACTTGTCATTGCGGAAAACTTCGACCAACAGGAGCATCTGCAGGGTGGCGGTTCGCACCAGGACGGACTGAACCCTGCTAACACCAGCATGGGAGACCAAGAAAGACAGTACCTGCAGCAGAATACATCGGCAGGCGAGGCTTCGAGGATGGTGGGGGCAACTCTTGTAGTAGAAGAAGCTAGCACATCATCCCAGCAGGGTATTGGTGGCTCCGGCAACTACACTACCGGGGGCGTCGCTGGACAGGAAAATCTATGCATTGCAAAAGTATCGTACTAGTATAAATTGCATGACAAATTTCCTCAGCATGAGAAATGGAATTTGTAATGCTGATTGACCTTAATAGGAAAAAGATTTGTAATGCATAAGTGCAATTACTACGAGTACGATACTTTTGCACAGGATAAAGTCACCAGGACGACGACGACGACCGTGACCTGGCGGTTTTCGGGGATGAAACCGACATAAACATATCAACTGTAAAAATGTCTGGGTCTGGAAGATTCTGACACTTGGCATGCACGTTTTGCATGAGCCCTGATGTCTGTGATGCATACCCTAGCATCACAGATTTTTTGAGAGCTTCTTGATCCCTTCTCCGCATGACCAATGCCCTCTCCGCGTAGCAAAAATTACATTCCTTTTGGTACTATCCAATACAGATTTTTCTGGAATCGAAATGCAGCATCACAAGTTGCATTCTTCCAGACCCACATCACACTTTTACATTTGATAAACCAACGCTCAGAACAATTTTCCGCACCAAGGCGGCCAGCAACCGTCCGCCTCCGCCCAGAGGAGAAACAAGCAAAGCTTGCGCCAGAGTCCAGTTGAAGAGCAGGAGGAGGTAGATGGGATGAATGCTCATGGTCAACCACACGATGCTCCCAGTTTCCATCCCCACCAGCAGAATAACACGCTGCTCGGGACATCAAGTGCCACTACTTCGGGACCGTCCAGCCAACACCAAAACCAGCTACGAGCAGGTCGGCAAGATTTGCAAAAAAGGTCGGTATTAGAGCAGGTGCGAGCAGGTACGAGCACGTCGGTATTAGAACAAGTAGGTATGAGCTGCAAAAATGTCGGGGTCTGCAACGTCGTCGCGTGCGACAAAATCTACTATACTGTAGAAGAACAACAAGTACAAGACGTGCATGGAAAAGAGGCTGAAGCTGTGCATGACAAACGAAGCTGTGCATGACAAACAAGCAGCACGTTTGCGGAGCGTGCATCTAGTAGCCAAGCATAACTAGACACGTGCTCGCAATCATGAAGCGGACTCCGACATACTTGCGAATGCATACGGCGGCCTTGTTTTCAAGAGCACACCTTCTATGTCCGAACCGAGCAAGGAAATTCGCGAAGTAGTCCGGCGACTATCGTGAAGAAAATAAACCCAGTCCCCTCATGTACTGCCACCAACTCTTGACAATTTGTCCTGCATTTTTGCCCACGCAAGTAGATCTTTGCCGTGCTATAATATTGCTAGCGGGGTATTGCACTGTCCCCGAGCTCCCGACCTGCAGGTAGCTTGCGGCCACCGCGAGTGCTTGGTGCTACAGAACGAGGACAGACTGACGCACACAATTCTTGTTTTGGATATGGGCATGAACACAGTATGAGCAACGGCCCCATTTTAACTATGGGGCGGAGGGATTTTCTGCCTGGATATTGGTTTTGCTGTCTTCGTGTCGCGGGATTTTTCACCGCGTCTTCGTCTCGCAGGTACACACATGGGAGGACGTCTTCTCGGCCTTACCCGGCGCCGCGGACGTCTTCGACGCGGTGCGCGCCAGGAGCGGCGTTCCAGCGAATCACCTCCCGCGGCTCCGACGCCAGGGCGGGCCGATCTACATGGTGGTGAAAGTATCCAGTGTGGATATGTCTGGGCCTGGAAGCGTCGTGAGACGGTGCTGTTTATCTTGCACGCGACGATCTGTATTGCATGACGAACTGCAATACTGCAATGCAACAGCAACCCAGCATCTTCACAGGCTGGCTTCCAGGCCCAGGCATATTTCCAGTTGATACAACACGAGCGGCGAAAGCCAAAGCGGAGAAAGGCTGCGAGACTGCTACAAGAATGCCTCGAGCAGGCTCGGGGCAGGACGGGAGCCACTGCACCCCGACGACAAGGTATGGGAGTGTCTTCAGGACCGAAATCGACAAAGCCGAAACATTACTATTTAAACTGCAGCAAACCAGAACTTTTGAAGCTTTTGGGTGTGTTCTGGGGTATGGAAAGTAGGTCCGTAGCATCGTGATTTGTAATTTGCAGGCCACACCCCGAACACACCCCGGACACACCCCAGACAGACCCCCGACACACCCCCCCCGACAAGAACTGCTGAAGCTTTGGGGTGTGTTCTGGGGTATGCAAAGTGGCTGCGTAGCATCGTGATTTGCAAGTTGCAACACACACCCCGAACACACCCCGGACACACCCCAGACACACCCCAGACACACCCCCGACACACCCCCCCGTCACACCCCAGGGATCCCCGTCTCACACCCCCGGAAGACACCCCCGACACACCCCAGACAAACCCCCGGCGCGCCCTCGGCTACCACATTCAGAGCAGGGGGCAGAGAGCCTGAGTATCCAGAGCAGAAAACATACCTGGATCCGAATCGAATAAATATCCAGAGCGGGCTCAAGTATCCAGAGTGGGCGGGCTTCTCGCACGGCCCAGGGGCAAAAGCCCTAGGTCAGCGCGGGGACTCGGTCCCCGCGTCATGACCTAGGGACCAGCTTCGGGCGTTTCCCGGAAACTAACCGCACGGCCCAGGGGCGAAAGCCCTAGGTCAGCGCGGGGACTCGGTCCCCGCGTCATGACCTAGGGGCCAGCTTTGGGCGTTTGTTTCCCGGAAACTATCTAACCGCACGGCCCAGGGGCAAAAGCCCTAGGTCAGCGCGGGGACTCGGTCCCCGCGTCATGACCTAGGGGCCAGCTGCTGCGGGCGCTTCTTTCCCGGAAACTAACCACACGGCCCACGGGAAAAAGCCCTAGGGCAGCGCGGGGGCTCGGTCCCCGCGTCATGACCTAGGGGCCAGCTTT